CTACGATTATAAATTTACTAGTAAAACTAGTTGGTAATTCAGTTTATTATGTAACATGCATATTTTTCTCTGAAATGAGAACAAAAATATCTGTAATAGGCACGAGCATAAATTGAAAAATAAGAGAGTATATTCGAAAATTTTTAATATTTTCCTTCTCTTTTACATTTTGTTTTTACTCGTTTCTGTTTTTCTCTCTTTCTTATATTCTCCTTAATTTTTTTAATACTGTTTGATATAGGCTTCTATAACTGTTATACAATAAAGAAGAATATAAAAAGGAGAGTGTAGAGTATAAAAAATGTAATATAAAGGTGTGTAATATTTTGAGGAGTTTTTAATTTTTCTCTTCATTTACTTTATTTTTACTTTATTTTTACTTTGGTGCTGTGATTCTCTTTCCTTACATGTCCTATTTATTTGTTATAATTATTCAGTTTATTTCCTAGCTATCATGAAGGAAAATTTGTAAATAGTTATATTTTTAGTAGCGGATGCAATATGCAGGTATTTAATAAAAAATTGCATATTGAGTTAAAATTTAATTTCAAAAATTTAATAAATCTTTGTTAAAGAATTAAAATATAGAGGATGTATGAGTAATTAAATGACTAAAATGAGAGTGAGGTTTAATTAACCGTAATTTATTTGCTCTAAATAAACGGCTTACTTAATATTTTCAACTGTTGTTCACTAAAATGCAGTTCAATATTTTAAAATTACTCTCTATTTTTACATACATTACGAGTAAGCAGAATTTACTAATTTTTAAAAATTAGTGTTAAGAGAGAATAGTCCCTATAAATAGAAACTTTTAATCGAAATTAGGGTAAATAGAAAAAGAATGATATATTATGGGAACTGGTCCTCAAAACTAATCGTAAATATAATTGTATATTTTTACTCCGATGACAACTTGAACGCAAATTAAATATTTCAAATATTATAGTTGCTTTACTTCGATCCGATTAAGTAAAAGAACACAGGTTTTGTAAGAAAGTTTTCAATTCTCAACTTTAATATTTTTAAGCCGCTCTTTCAAATAAAGTATAGAACTCAATTTTTAATACTTGCAGCAGCGTATTGGAGTGCGAACATATTAATAAAATATTATCCCTAGTATCATGTGATGAGAAAGATGAATGAATGCATTACGCAAGGATATAGCATTTATTTGTATTTAAAGGGCAAAGCATAATTTTTATTTTATCCTTTTATGGTTTTTATTTTTCTCAGTCAATACCGCCACATATTATGTATAACACGTTTATATAGGTAAATACATAGATAATTTATTTATGAATTGAAGAAATTACTCACAACTTGGGTAATTTAATTTTATTACGAAATATTTCTAAAAAAAGAACCAAAATGAAATCTTAAGGATAATAAAAATATTTTTATTTTTTTTAGTAGATTATATTGTTGCGTGTAGGTGTAGAAAATTAAAATTTCTTTTAAACGTTTTATCTTTATTATGTTTACCTATGATACACCATACACGCACATATCATGCATTTTTATTTTACACCTACAAGTTCTCATCTTTCATTCTCTTTCTCATCTACATGAAGTGAATAGCATTAAGGGTAGTATAAAAACATTAAAAGAAAATTTACCATTATTATTGAGGAGAAAAGTTTTGTAAATAACCACGTTGCATATTTTTAGGAGTAGCACAATTTATTGTGTATTTTTACCAAGAAAACACTATTTTATTGCAAAGCTTTTTCCGAGTTTTTCGTCATTTTTTATTTCTCATTTTTTTTTTATTTATCTCGTTTTATTGTTATTTCACTTGTTGGTATAGTGCTGACCATTACAAATTTTTATAAAACACAAAAAATTCTAAATCAAAATAAATCTGAGGATTTTGACATTTTTATGTATGATGAATGATACGCCCTTTTACAGTTTATTCAAAACTGTTTTGTTGTTCTCGGAAAAATGTAGATGGGTATTAAGAATCTCGTAATTTTTTTTATAATATTTGTTGAATAATATTTTGTATTAGAGACCGTAATTTTTTAATATCTTATCGAAGATGATTATTGCAGCCTAGGAACCATCAGTGAAACAAAGAAATTTGAGCATCTGTGCTTAATATACATTTACACGGAAAGCGGCCGTGTTGAATATTACCTGCTGGACTCATGCATGCCCTTGTAAGTTCTAAATCACTGTCATGCTATACCTTCTTCTCATTATATTCGATCGGAACACGATCCATTCAGTGAATCTCACTTTTGTCCTTCTTTCTAGTTGGAAAAAGCCTTAAAAAAATTGCTCAGATTTGTATGAATTTTCATTTCTGGGATCTTTGAACACTTAAATTGTTATACATGTCTGCTATGTCACTTCACGATAGTAACGTTGTTTTAATTTTAATTGACTTTTCATTTTGAATTAAAACATGAAATATTTTAGTTCTATATATCCTATAAATTTAATAAGTATAACATTCTGTTATACTATTGGATTGTGTTCTATATATTGGCGAACTTTTTTCATAAAAAAGGTTTACAAACGATTTTCTCATGTAAGACCTAATACTGTACCCAAATATGAAATAACATTGTATAAAACGTAAGAAAGAGAAAAGAAATGTAAAACTTTTACGAAAAAATCAAAACAATAGAATAACAGTATACTTTTTTTGTTAAACTTTTTTTTTACAATGTATGATATTAATTTTTATATGCTCCAATTTACGCAAAAGATCTAATTTTTTTGTTATTCTTTTTAGCACATTTTTAATGAAATTGTAAGCAAAATGTTCTAATATTGTCAATTATTTCTATCTAGTCCAAAAAATCCTTTTCTCTTTGCAAAAACTTCTCGAAATTACAAATCTTTCACAAAACTGTTATATATTATGTAAGTTACTACTATATACCTAGCAACATGGTATCATAATTTTTTCGGCAAAATACTTTTTAAATTTTCGAAAAAGGTAAATATTGTTATACTGATACGACCTGCTGCAAGAATTGTATAACATTAATTTTTACCACACATTAAAATTTTGACATGTAGTAAGTAAAATAGAAGTAATAAAAATTTGTATAACAGTTATATCAGAATTAATATTTTTAATGTAATTATTATAACTGAAAAATTCATAAATGTGGAAATGTGATATACTGTATAACCTCGAGTTCACTTGTCTTTTTTTTTACATATTATACGATATTTCATTTTCTGCTTGTTTTCCTTTATGTTGTTCGCTTGGCTCAAAACTATTTAAAGTAAACTTGTGTATATAAAGGCAAGTTTGAATAATGATTTTTATTATTCTCATTATATAACATAAATGTAAACTTATATACACATTCTGTACACGTTATTCTAAGGGGAATATGTATGTATATATATACCATATATATACGTATATATGTATATATATATATATATATATATATATACAGGCTTTTGTATTACTATGATTTTATGACTTGTTTAGGATTATGTAAGAGATTTGTTTATTTAAGAATTTTAATGTCCTTGTTCTTTTTTCATTTTTATTATTATAATATCGTAATAAAAGGATAACTTTATAAAAGTGTTAAGATAAAATGTTGAATATTTGTTTTAATTGTTTTAACAGTATGTTTTTTTTTTTATTAAATGAGCAAGGCAATTTTATAATGCTTGTTGTGAATTTCGATCTTATAGTCTCTGTTTAAACTTTGGACTTATGAATCGAAAAAAGTTTTAATATAGATTTGTAGTGAGTAAATGCCTATAAATCCACATCGAAAATTTTGTAATGAGTAATTAATTTTATAATTTAAATTAAATTTCATCATAGCAACTATTCTAATGTGCAGATTTTAGATAGTTGTTGAAAAATAAATTTGTGTTTTTCACAATGAAGCGTAATTATTTATTGATTCATTTAATTATGAAATATTGTACCCTATGGGTTATGCCTTAACAACAATAATAATTTCTACAATAATTATTATGAAACATAAAAAAAATTTAATGTGGTCAGCACATAACCGACCGCAATGTGTGTTATCTAGTCTTACAGAAGATTATAAAAATTCTGTACGTAACTTTTAAACACTTCTTTCCAATTTTTTTAAGCGTTCGTAAGCATTTAGTTAACATACCTAGAAAAATATAAATTTGGTTCTTGTAGTAGAGTTTCGCTTTGTGCCATCCAAATTTGTTAAAAATTTCGCAAGTTAATTTTAGTAATAACCAGAGCTCAAATATTAAATTTCAAGAAATTTCATCAATCTGTTCCGTAGATATGGTAAAAAATATAAAATCGGCCCCCAGTTTAGTCTCCGAGTCCTGATCGTTCCAGAAAACTTATATGTTCATTATTTTAACACCCCAAATTCAAATATTAAATTTCAAGAAAATTTATTGATTATTTATATAGGTAAAAATCTAAAATTGGCTCGAAAAAAAGTCCAGTTCCCAAGGCCTAATATATTCCAAAAGTCGATTAATTTATGACACAGCCAAATTCACATATAAAATTTCATAAAAATCGGTTTGGCCGAACCTGAGATTTACGCTTGCACACACAGACAGACAGACTGAAATACCGAAGATGTCGACAGACTGACACCTCTCTAAAAATAGTTTATTTATGCTTCCCTACTATTAAGAAGTGCATTCCAACCGAAAACTCAATATGCAAAATTTGTTGCCATCACATAACCTCCCTTATTTTATTGAAAAATTAAATAAAAATAAGCTTTTTTTTTGTTTTTTTTTATTTTTTACAAGTAAATTAATAATATTTATTATTTATAATTTTTATATATTAAATATTGTATATAATGTAATTTTAATATTTTACATATATATATAAAAAATTTACTTGAAAAATAAAATTTTTATATGGAATTATTTTAGTTTTATATCAACCATTATTGGATTAACTCTTCGGATTTTTTAAAAAATAAATTTTTTGGAAATTCTCGGATATTTCGAAATTTTTCTTTGTTTTTAAATCTCGTTGATATTTCTATAAAAAAAAAAATTTCAATAAATAATCATAATGAATTATTTCAAAAATAATAATGATGAAAATTCAAAAAAGAAAATTTCGAAATTGGAAAATTCACCAATGAGAAATTTTTATAGGGGAAAAACAATATTATTGACCGGTTGTTTAGGATTTTTAGGACAATTATTTTTAGAAAAATTATTAAGGCAAGTGTCCAAAAAATTTTTCTATTAAGAAAAAGCATAATGATTTTTGTATAACAGATAATTAAAAATAATTGTATAATAATAATTATTTATTAAAATATTTGACTGTTATACACATAATATTTACATATATTTGAAATATAGTATAATAAAAATTTTATAATAATTGTGCTATTTCTATGTGAATTTTTTATTAAACAAAATAAAAATAGATGAAAAATAAAATATTAATATTTTTTGTATTTAATAATAATAAAATTTTAAAATTTTCTAAAACTAATATGCTAATATAATTCATTTTAAATTATACGAGTATTATAAATTAGAAAAAAACAAAAAAGTGCATAGTGCAAAATTTTATAAAATCGAAAAACTTGTGTATGAAAAAATTGTACTTTGTAAATCAAAAACTATATAACTATGGACCTTGGTTTTATATAAACAAAATTATGAATTATTAATGATTATTAAATTTAATATATTCTGTTATATAACAATAATAATTATAACCATTTCAAATAAATAATTATGCACATATATTATTTAAAAAATTGAAAAAGGATGAAGTTGGAATTTTACTTCCGGAATTAAATTCTTCTACCATATTTATGTTATACTATTGTGTTATACTTTATTTATTTTACTAAATTTAATTTTTGTTTTTAGTTCAGTTCATTTTATATTGAAATTTTAAGTCATTATCATTCAAATTCATTTTTAAGTTTATCATAACCTTTATAATTAAAATATTTATAATGGAAAATTATTGAAATGAATAAAATATTGAAAGAACTCTAGTGTTATGTGGAATTTTTAGCACTTTTCCAAAAATTTTTTGAAAAAAAGTGCTTATTAGTTTCACTCTGTCCGTCCGTCCGTCCGTCCGTCCGTCCGTCCGTCCGTGTGTCTGTTTACAAAACTTCTACACCCTTGAAGATAAAAAGCTGAAATTTTATATGTACATAGATCTTTACTAGAAACTTATTTCTGTAGAACAAAATTTTTACCTATCTCCTCCCCTCTAGAAGTTATACCCCCCCAAAACCCTAAAAATGGCCTTTTTTAACTATTTGTTGCAATGAAACCATAAGCATTTTTGAAATTTTGCAAACACAGAAAAGCAGCGGCGTGCTTCCCCTAGCGCGGCATACTATATTTAAACTTTAGAAAAACAAAATGGCCGTTCAAATTTACCGTTATCTAAAGTCCTTTTTTTGCAAATTTTTGATGTCGTTTTTTTTCTAAACTACAGCCTGTAGAAGCTTGAAATTTTAGGAGCTTTTAGACATTATCAAATAGTTCATTTCGCTAGAAAAATTTTTTTTCCATCTCCACCCCCTCTCAAGTTATCGCCTCTTGAAATTTGTAAAATTTGAATTTTTGACACCTTATATTTCCGAAATCGCAAGCTTTTTCAAATTTCTATTAACGCAGAAAGTTAACGGTAAATTCCATGAAATTAAAAAATATAATTATTTTTCTTAACTCACAAAATTAAACCTTAAAATCGAGCATTATGTTAACCCCACTTTATATTAATTTTTGCTTTATTTCAAAGACTGCATAAATCATTCATCCTAAATATATGCAAGCCTAGAAATAGTTTTGTATATGAATGAAAATAATTTTAATAGTGTGATAGGTACATAGACTAGATAGACTGTATTTAAAAGCAAAGTTTTCATTTGTTGAAGGGAAAAGTGCTACAATACAAACCATTGGTTTGACCCAACTTTATTTTTTTTAATTGTGGAAAATTTCAGAAATATTCAAAATAACAAGTTATAAATAATTTTGTTGTAATTGTCATATAGTTGAATTTAAAAATATTGGATTATAATTAAAATTATATAATTCTATTGAAGATTTCATTCATATATACGAGGATTTTTAATATAATTTGACTATACGAATCTGTTATACTACAATACTTAATATAACAGAATCTGTTATACTATAATAGTATAACAGATAATAGTATAGTTAATATAACAGAATCTGTTATACTGCGGAATTTAATATTTAATAAGTTTATCTTTATAGTGTAAAAATTTATATTACAAAATTTAAATTTATAAAATTTATATCTTTTATACAGGTCAGATGTCAAAATGGTTTATGTTATTATACGACCAAAGAAATCAACATCACCTTTAAATCGTTTAAAATCTATACTTAAAGAGCCTGTAAGTAAAGTTTTGCTAAAATAATAAGCTTAATGTTAATAACTATTATTGAAAAATTTTTAAATCATAAAATTGTAAATTTTTCAATTTTCTAACAGATGATGTAGAACATTGTACTAGCTACACTGTTATACATCAAGATAAGGTCATTATGTATATTACAATTTTAATTAGTTTAAAACACTATAATCACAAAAATATTTGTTCAGCCCATACGCCATTTATGTGCTTGTTGACTCAAGAATTTTGTATAACAGTTTTTATTTATAACACATATCAAATTATTTAAACATTTTTTCTCGGACTCAACTAAATGGCGTATGGACCAATAATATAAGATGGCATATTTTTTAATTAATATTATTTAATATAGCAATTTGATAAACTTCGACAATACGATCCAAATTATTTTGATCGAATTCGAATAATTGAAGGTGATATTACAGAAAAATTAATGGGTTTAACTGATATCGAATTAAATGATATTTATAATAATATAAATATTGTTATACATGCAGCAGCTGATGTACGTATGGATGCAAAATTATCATCATTAATTATATCAAATGTTAAAGCAACAAGAGAAATTTTAAGAATTGCTGAAAAAATAAAAAAACTTGAAGTTTTTTCATATATATCAACAGCATTCAGTAATTCATATTTATGTAATATTAAAGAAAAATTTTATGAACCACCAATGGATCCAAATAAAATAATTGATTTATATGAAAAATCTAATGAAAATGAATTTGATAATATAAATACATTATCAGTTAATTTTACAAGACCATGGCCAAATAATTATGTTTTTTCAAAATGTCTAGCTGAAGATTTAGTTAGACAATATGGTAAAAAATTTCCGGTATGTGTTTTAAGACCATCTATTGTTATATCAACATATAAAGATCCATTACCAGGTTGGTGTTATTCAATAGCTGGTCATATTGGTGTAACAGTTGGTGTTGGTATTGGTTTAATAAGAACAATATGCCTTGGAAAACATTATGTTGCAAATGTAATAAGTGCTGATCTTGTTATAAATACAACATTAGCTGCAATTTGGAATACACATACAGAACAAATGAAATTAAAACAAAATACAAATTTATTAATAAAAAAACAAGAAAATCAATTAGAAATTATTGAACCAGAAGTATTTAATATATGTTCTTGTTTAGATAAACCAGTTACATGGAGTAAGTTTTCTATAAATTTTAAAAATTAATTTTCAAAATTAAATTAAATGAAATTTATATATTAAAAATTTTTAGTACAATTACAAAATGCATCAACCGAATGTGCTTATAAAATAGAATCAAAAACTTTTTTCCCAGTCTTCTTTAAGCCAACAATTAATAAGGCTTTATTTTTCTATTATACTTTAATATTGCATTTTTTGCCAGCATTTATTGTAGAAAAAATCCAGCCGTCATCTAAGTAAGTATACGAAAAAATGTTAAATTTTTTTTAAATTCTCCATTTGGTTTTGTTGGTTTTTGCCAACAAGTGTTGCCATTATCTTCAAATCATTTATTATCATACATCGATTTATTTGAACATCACTCCTGCCATCTAACTGATTATATCGAAATTCACAATATTATATTTTCATTTGATTATCACTGCTGCCATCTAACTAATTATGTAAAGCACAATCATAAAATATTTTTGTTTGATAATCAGTGTTGCCATTTAAATAATCATGTTAGATAAAATTTAAATTCTAATAAATATTTTAATTTAAATATTATATATAGATATATGATGAAACAGAGATTAACACAAAGATTTCTCCTGATAATACGATATTTTTGTACCAGAGAATTCATATTTGATAATACGAATTATAAACGTTTAATGGATAAAATGACACCCGAAGATCAATCATTTTATGTTTCAGATATTAGAAATTTTGATTTTGATATATTTAAAGTGTCTTATGTAAAATATGTTACGAAAATAATGATGGCAACATTTAAAGACAATAAAATGTCAAATAATCATTTAAGAATGTTTTATATAATGTTATTAATAATATTTTATGGATTTCATTCCGTTTTATTTTATTTTATTACAAATTATTATAATATTATCAATTATAAATATTTATTGAATATGTAAATAAATTATTTTGAATTTAATTTATTAATATTTTCGATTTTTTTTTTTGTTGTACAAAATAAAATTTAATTATAATTTTAATTACAATTATAAAGACTTTATAGTTACATGTTGAAAATTTTTGTTGGTTTTAATTATTGTTTTTTACAACACTACAGTCATTATTATCCAGGTTCGGAATAATAATTGCATACGATTGGAAGGTAAGATCAGAAAAGATAAAGGACAAAAATTGAATTTCATTAATAATAAGAAAACAGAGTCAACCATATTTTTTCTATTACAAATGATTTTCAAACACAAGGCACACTGAAATTTAGCCCTTCTGTTTATTTCGGGTCATTTGATGACCCAAAGTAATTTCAAATGAAAAAAACTTGTAATTAAAGTCGGTTTAATTTAAAATTTATTATTAAATTATGAATTCAATTGAAATTTGAATAAACTTTTTATTACATATGTGTTACATAGATTTATATGGCACCTTAGACCACGTATCTTTTGTCATGTAGCACGAAAAATATGCAATAAAGGCATATCTCAAAAGTGTAATTTATTTAAATTGTAATTGCTTTGAATTATGTGAAAATATTTACAAGATGACACGACAAATTACTTAATTATCCCAGAGATGATTAAGTATAACTCTGCAAAAGGCGACAATTTATATTTTAGACCTGAGTTCTTTATGACTGGAACCGAACAACATTATATAAATTACTGTTCGTCGCAAGCTGATCAGAACTTTTTGTAAGTATTTTTCATTGGATTCAAGAAAGAATCAACAGCAACATATTTTGCAAGTATATTTGGTCGGCGAATTGTCATTCAACAATGATAGCCTCTGTTTACTGTCAAACAGAATTTGATTTCTTTTTGAATTTAATGTTTTTGTTGTTAAAAACTGAAGTCCTCAGAAATAAGTCATATAATAAAATAATAAAAAAAATGGATCATTCTATGACCCGAAGGTAACACGTGTATTTTTTTAAAAAGGGTTAATTATTTCATAATTTTATTTAAGTTTAATAATATCAGTTTATTACACTTCATAATATCTGGTCTGTATAGAAATAAATTACGACTGCATACGTCTTTTTCACCACTCAAAATAACTTTAAGCTTTAAATTAATTTAAATGCTTTATGAAAGCCGCTCAATGTTTTAATTATATTATATGGCGTGTATTTAATTTTTGAATATTTATAACACAAGCGAGTGTGTGGCATTAAATTAAATTCACGTTTAAGGTCAAATTTTGTTTACTTAAAAACTTTGATTTTATTAAGAAGGTAAGTTGAATATTTATAATTATTTACAAGTTAGAAATTTGAAAAATTTTGAAAAGGAAAATATTATTATTTAAAATTTAGGTAATATTGAGATATTCGAGTGTTCAATGCTTGATGTTCAATTGCTGTAACGCCTATCGTATAAACGACTTGGGAAAATTGGGTGCCAAGTTATTATTTTAAAGAAATATTTACTACAATATTGCATATTGTAGTAAATATTGCTTCAAAACTTTGAAATTGTGTAAACAATTAAATATGTATGAATTTAAATTTAGATTGTTATCCAATGTGTTGCTTTCTTCCATAAAAGGAAATAATATACAAGTATATAATAGATTTCAAGGATGTGTTATAACCTTCAGACAAACTAAATATAAGATCAATATTTTATAGTAATACAGATGTTTCAAAATAATTTCTTTTTATCCGCTCTTTCTGCTTCTCCAACTGTATAACAGTTTACGCTAAGAAATGAAATTTAAGAGAAAAATTATAAATATTGTTTAACATAACATACAAATTATGTAATTTTCGAAAATTAAAGAAATAAAATAATTTTATATTTAGGTGGTTGGAAAAACATATGTTTATAACTGATAGTTGATATAGGCTGCCCAGATTGTAAAAAAAATTTTGTTTTACAATTATTTTTAAAATTAAAATTCTCTTCTTGGTTTTCTGTACAAAAATTAAAAAATCAATTTAAATATTTAATACAAATAACTTAAAAAATATTACTTGTTTTCTTTTATTTAATTTGGTATGGGTTGATATCAAATATAACTCTTATACACCAATAATTAAAGATTTTTTTTTACTGTAATATTTGAAATATTTGCATATTTTTAGGCTCAAAAATATTATATTGTAATAATATACAGGCATTTATGTATATTATTTTTATAACTGTTATACACATTTGGTTAACTGTTATACATATTTGATTTGTAAATTACGTTACCAATTTAACTCGTAAACATCTTTTTTTTAAATTAATGCATTTAATTCTGCATAACCATAACAATTTTCAATACAAATAGTATTCAAAATTTTTTTATTTGAAACTTGAAAGTAAACAGAATTTCAAGAAATTAATGTTAAATTCTTTTCACACAACACTAATATTAATATGGCACAAAATTAGTGATTGTATAAAGTGCGAATATAATTAAAAATGTACAGATAATGGGTGATCTGCAAGGCCAATAAGATAATACATAATATAAAATTGTATAGGTAATTAATTTACAAAAAAAAAAAAAAAGAGTTTGTAATGAAGCACCATGTATCATCTGATTATATTCGAAAAATATTACATATATGTATAACATTATAACAATAATATAAAAGTTCGAATAGTTTTCGAATTGATTATGCGCTATTGAAATTTTTATATTTTGTTTTTTATTTTATTCTAAGTGAAAAAAAGAGAGTTTACATTTATATCGAGAGAATACAAGAGAATATTGAGAGAAGTAATATTTACTGTTTTCTTTATTATCATTATTATCAACATAATAACAGCAACAACAACATACCAATGAGAATAACAGTGAGATACAAAATTATACCAATTTTTAATTTTATTTTTGTTCTTTGTTTTGTTTTTATTTTTGTGTTCTTCCTTTATTATTATGAACCTGACCTGATGTACCGAAAAATATGTTAGTGGTGACGGTGATTATCTTTTTGTTTTTCTTTTTATATAACACAAAAAAAAAAGCGCAAAGAAAAGCAACACTATATGAATATAAGAGTTCTAGAGAAGAGTTTTCTTTTTCTAACTAAAAAACAAAAAAAAAAAAAAAAATAAAGAAGAAAAAAAATACGGCAAATATCCTTTTTTGGTGTATAGTAAAGTTTTGCTGTTTTTTTTGTTTTTTCTTTTGCTATTCTTTTATATTCGCAGACTTGTTTTCTTATATCCTTTTTTTTTCAATCAAAATACATTCATCAGTTGAGTTGATGTTATAGAAGTAAAGAAGCCGCAAAACGATAAAAACATCCAAAATTATCAATAAAATTCTTTATTTTTTTTGTGTTGAAGTTTTACCAAAAAAAAAAAGCAGTCCGTGATTTTTTGTTTTTTATTTTTTAATTTTTTATTTTTGGGGTAATTTTTTACGTTGATATTTGGACAATATGTAATAATAAAGAAAAAAATTATAAAAAAAATTTTTATGACAATTAAAATATTTTGTAAAATTTTTATTATTAAAATTGATAGTACACTGAGAAAAAAAAATTTTAAAAAATCATAGTAAAATTGTGATGATATTAAAATTATTAGCGTGTTAAAATAGAAAAATTATAAGTGAACAATAACAAAAACAGTAAAAAACGGAAAGAGTCCTTTATTAATCAAGTTCTGTTTTATATTTGTTTCTTATCAAAATATTAATAAAAATTTTTTTAATATTGAAATATTTTAATATATTGTGATTTATTATTGTATTAATTCAAAAAAAATTATTAGAATTTTAATGAAATTTTAAAATTTCTTAACAAAAATACAATGATATTTTGAAAATTTATCTTTTTTTACTATGTGTGGTTAATGCCATTGAATTAATTTTTGTGTTATGAAGGTATTACTCGAATGAATTTTATGCACTCATCATATAACTCAAATTAAAGCTGTAAGACAATTGTAATTTTACAGTTGAAAATTAAAATTGAGAACATTTTAATGTTGTGAATTAAAATTTAATAATATAATTGTTAATTATCTGAAATGATACTAGTAAACATGATAAATACAATAATAATACACAGAAAAAAATTATAACAAAATTTTGTAATAAAACTTAAAATTTTTTGTAATATGAATGGAAAATATCTTAATGTTATAATTGAATTATAAATTAAATGTAATATTAACTTAAAAGAGTTACTATACTTAATTTATATTCTATTAATTACAGTTGCATGTAATTTAAAAAAAAATTTAAGAAGTTTACAAAACTTCCATAATTAAAGAATGTGCATAGAACCTTTTAAATAATTTTGTACACAAAATATCATGTGAATATTGTTGTGGATCACATATATATATTAATCGCTTATATACCCTAACACATATATAATATATATAAAATCAAAATATTCTCATATATAATAATAAAGAAAATTAGCAGTACATAATATTGATGAATGAAATTGAAAAAATTACTTGCAAGAGAAATCGCGTGAAATTACAAAGTTCAAAGGAAAAACTCTAAAATATAGAAAATTGATAAAAGAAACAATAAATTGGAATTTTTAAAAAAAAAAAATTCTATTCATTTTTTTCCATTTCTTTTTTTTTTTGTTTTTGTAAAATAACAAAATAATTATAACTTTGGTATAACGGCACACTTATAAATAATAAATAATATGTAGGTGAGAATTATTGTAATTTATTATAATTTCCTTAAGAAACTAGTTCCGTGAAACTTAACAAATACAAAAAAAAAAATAAATAATTATGATTTATTTACATGAATTATGTTGATTGTAAATGAAATTTTTGATTTATTACCTTGTGAATAAATAATAATAAAAAAAAACTTTTTAATATAAATGATAATAATATTTAATAAATTATATAAAAATATTTAAATATTGTAAAAATCTTCTATATTACAATTGAAAATTTCATCAAAAATGGATAATAGTAATAATAGAAGGAACACAGCAACTGAATTCAGTTATATACTTCAACGTCAGGTAAAAATATTACAAAAAAACAAAAAATGTAATCTTACACCATGAAAATTTTAATTGAATTTTAGGTGCTCTCATTTTCTTAAAATATAATTTCTTACCGTTGATCCGGTTTAGTTTCAATTTGATATCACTTTCGGATATTTAAAATTAATATTAAATTGGAACAACTCATTGTTTTCGTAACATAACAGCTTCAGCTTTCGTTTTAACTTAATTTGAATTTCTTTGTATCTTCGAGAGTCTCTTATTACAGAAATAAGAATTTTATATTGGTTTGGGCACTGGACATAATTACGTTAAGCAGCTATCGTTGTCAATTACGAAACTAGAGTCAAAATACTAGTGAACAATATACATTTACAAAATCTCATTTTTAAAAGTTTGACAAATAGAAGCAAAACTATAGTGAAAGTGGTTGGTGCAATACGGCTCCGAATTCTAAAAATTTTGTAAATGACACTTTAATCGTCTGAGGTAAATTACGAAATTTTCTAACACATAAGTTAAAGTCCCGGTTCGGCCCGAATTTTTGACTTAGATTCCAAAAATTTTAATTATAAAATTTTTAATTCTCAAATATTTTTCAAAATAGGCATAGTTCCGCATTTTTGAATATATCAAAATTAAAATTTTGTGGCACCGGTCCTGGTTTGTTATATAGAAAAATTGAGCGAATCAAGACAATTGCTGCACAAGTGTTTGAAAATTGTATTTTAATGAAATATTTAATTTCTTTTTCCACGTTTTTCATCTTAAATTTAAAAATTTTAAAAAGAATTGTTTGATAATGGGCCTGCTCTTTGGAACATAAATAATCATTTGGAAGCATAGATTTCGGTTTGACTCAGATTGAAATTTAGAGATACTATAAATGATCTTTTATTCATCTTCATCACTTACCCTGCTCTATGCTCTATATGCCCCAAAATTTTCTTTGGCTGTCATTAAATTTTTCAAACTAGTTTTAAATTTGAGTAAGTATGTATGCAATTTATTTATTAATTTCTACTATACCGTAATTAAAATTCTCAATCGAATTTAGAGAAAAAATTTCAAATTACTAATAAACAAAATTGTTATATTCCCTCGTAATTTGAATATTATTTTAAAATTTTAAATTTAACCATACCACTCTCATATTGTGCATCAGAAATAGAATTACATTTTACGATATAAGACCCACCTATATATATTAATACGAAATCACAATATCTAATTTTAAAATTTCTTTCTATTCTTCTTTTATTAAAATTATTGATCTTTCATGTAATTTGATATTGAACTGCAATTTTGTGTTCAATAAATAATCAAACTTTCATAATTATGTAATAAACCTAGTTACAACCAGTAAATAAAAATAAAAACTATAAGAAAAGAACAAAAAAAAACTTTAATTTTTCCTTAAAACTTTTTCCTTCCACAATTTTAATTTCTAGGTTTTCAAATTTTTTTTTTCTTTTCAAACATTTTTCAATACAAAATAACTAAAATGGTCGTAGGATGAGAAAATAGAATCAAAAAAAAATTTTTTTAAGTATAACAGAAAAGAAAAAAGAGAACGCCTTCATAAAAATTGTATAAATTATAATTTTTTCTACAAAATAACGGTAAATAGTATAGTCTAACTGTTATATACCATTCTAACAACATTATGAATGTATGATAAAAAAATAATGTTCTTAGATTGTAACGGTTTAATGTTGTGGGCGATGAAAATGCAATCATAATAAGAAATTAAAAAAGAAAAATTTCATTTTATTGTCCTTATAAAGAAGGAAAAATATAACAGTGTACGTACGTTTGTTTGTTTGTTTGTATGTGTACAGTAAATGTGTTGATAACAGAAAAATTTATTTATTTTTCATTTTTCTATTTAAAAATAGCAAAAAAATTTATTTAATAAGTAAAAATATTTTTGAAAGCTTTAAAAAAATTTAATATGCTCCTCAAATTATGCAATCAATATTTGAATAATATCCGTCATCCGCCTATACATACAATTTTTTAGAGAAACATAAATTTCTTTTAAGTATTTTACGGGGCGGGGGGGAGGGGAGAGTGGTAGGTACAAACGTTCATATAAGGATTAATCATTTATGTATTATTTACATTGTGTACGTCATCGTACCGTATGTTATGTGGGATAGTATAAAAATATTTTCACTCTAAATAATTTATAGAAGATGTGAAGGAAAAATAATTTATTAAAAAATAAATTTATTAAAATAATTTTGTACAATTATTATTATGTTGAATATATAAAAAAAATGAATTTATATCCTTTATTATTTACGTAAATCTCATTTATTTTATGTAATGAAATGCTATGAATATTATAGAAGGATTTTGAATATGAAAAAGGATATATTTAATTAACAGAGAAAATTGAAATTATGAACAAAGAAAGTTGAAACAAAGATGTACTTTAATATATAATCTAAGACTAAGTAAATATTTTAATATAAAGGATTTAAAGGATCCCAGTAGTTAATGCAATTTATTCTTAACATTTCATACTTATAATTTGATAATATCTCAAGGACTACATTCAGGTCATATGATCTATAGGATAACTATCATACAAATTCAAAAACATTAATAATTTCAATGATAAATTAAATTTATCTGGAAAATAGATATTCTGGCCATGTTGGGATTATATGAATCGTAATAGCAGTTCTTATAGGATCATACGGCCATCACGTATACAAGCAGTTGAATCAATTTATTATTATGCATTATGTTCTTTTAATTTACAGCTGGAAGAACACAAATAATATCAGCCCTTCTAGATTCATCAATTTTATATTACTGGCATAGATTTGCTGCAATTTTTTAAATATTTCATTAAAAATATTTTAAAAACAGGCATTCTTGTTATTAACAATTAATTCACTTATATATACAATTCATATTAGTTCAAATATTATTTTTAATCTTGAGTATTCATTGAAGAAAACCATTTTTCGTAAATGAAGGCGACCGTGATAACTAATAATAATATTCAATTTACTTTTTATTCTCATTGCTAAATATAAAATAATTTAATTATCTCTATATACTTACATATATTATCATTATTTTTAATATAGAATTATAACAGTTAAAAATTATTACAATATCTTTCCTCTATTTTATATTAATTAGAGAAATAAAGACAACAATATTACTAATATACTCGTATATAGAAATATTAATATCTTTTTTTTTTGCATAGTTAGAGTAATAACATAATAATTTAATTATTATTATTATTTTTATTATTACTATTACAATAATATATAATATTATCCTTTATTAAAGATTTTCTTAAGGAAAATATGAAAAACGAAAATCAGTTAAAATAAGAAAAGAAAAATTTAAGATATTAGAATTAATAAAAGTCAAATTCATTAATAATAGTGTTTTCTTTAAAAGGTTTATTTTGGCTTATACGCAAGGGAATACAGTGAAAGCTCGATAATACAAAGACCTTTGACATATTAGTATTTTTATTTTTTTGTTATTAAGAGATTTCTCTACTAAAATTTTTTAATAATTAATTGAAATTGTATTTTAATAATATAAATGTCTCCTTGAATTCTATAGAACTAGTAATTTGAATTTCATATAACGAAATTTTGCTATACCTAATTAGCAACCTCTGTTTAAACTACATTCAATAATTCAATTCTAAGGTGAATCCTGAGTAGAGCACAAAAAAATTTATTTTTGCAATTTAGAAAATAAATTTTCAAATATTATAATGCATTGTTGTAATAGAATTAAAGAATATTGCCTAAAAATATGCAATTTTTTCAATATTAGAAATTCATAATTTTTCTTCAAATATAGCTTAAATTTTTCATAATAACATTAAATTTTTATATTATATTAAATATTTCTTAAAAAAAAAATTGTATAACAGTTGTATAACAATTGTATAACAGTAATAAAACTGTTATACAATTTTTAAAATAATTTATTAATTAAATACAATCAACTGAATAAATATATACACACATTTTTTTAAAATTTTAATATTTTCTTCAATTTATTTAGTGAATTTAAGTAATATATAGTAGATGAGTTCAACAGCTCCCTTTTATAATTTTAATTATTGAATGACCAATAATTTGCAGAAAAATTTCAATATAACACAATTTTACTGTTCTGTGTATATGAGTTGGTATCCGTAATTATATATTAGAATAAACAAACAGTTTTTGTTGTTCATGTTTAACAAAATATTATACACCTAAAAATATTTTCAAGTATAAAAATAATATTAAAAAATATATTTTTATAACAAAAACGAAAAAGAAAAATATGTACGTGTTTCACGTAATCGTGTGTACAACCCCCATTTTGCACAAGGAAACCAATTAATTAAAATCATTATAATGTACTTTAATACAAATGTATATATACATTATATATAATTGTACCTTACCCACCTAAAATATATATATGTACATCAGCCTATATTAAAGATTAAAAATATTATAAAGTAAAAAAAAAGAAACAAGAAAAAAACATCTAAAATATTTAAGTATAATAAAAAGGTTATCCGCTTTTTTTTATAGGCTTTTATTTACCTATATTTTTTTTACATATATTTTTATCTTCCTTCAAATATTATATATGTATAAGTAAATACTGTATTATATAAAAAAAAAGGTATAAAGTGAAGGTAAGGTTAAAAATTTCAACCATTTTTATAATATTAAATGAGATCTCAAGTTAAATGAAAAATTCTTGGAAAATTTTTTTTCTCACTTTTATTTTTCATTTTTTTTTTTTTTTTTTTGACAAATTCTTTATTCTTTGATATTGGAAAGGTGTAAGGAAATATTTAAAGGTGAAAAAAAATTTTTTTTTTTTTAATTTATTTTTTTTCTTTTCTTTGAGTTTGAAGAGGAAAAACTGATACCGGTGTTTAAGTTAACAATCAAAAAAGGAAAAGGTGACTTTTTTTTTTATTTAATTTTTTTTTTTGTAGGGGCGAGAATCATTGTGGATTTTACCACTTAACAAACTAAAAAAAAAAATATGATTTTTTTTTTCTTTTCATTTGTATTGTAAATATTTTTATTTTACTGTGAATGAATGTTCGAATGGGTATTATAAATTTACCACTCGGCCCTTTGTAACGTCAGGCAATAAACGTCTGAGATATAAACACTAGTACAGGCTTTTGATTAGTGTGAATTTAACCAGATCTGACCAGGTCTTAAAAAATATTAATTATCAATTGTTAATCAAGAAATTGTTAAATTGTTTTTATAGTTGTATAACAGTTATGTATAACAGTTTACTATTTTTAGAGTATAACAGTTAGGTGTATAACAGTTTTTATTTCGGAACTGTAAAGCCAGTTTCAATAAAATTTCGCATAAGTTGCAATATAGCAATATAACTGTTGTACAAATTCAAAAACAACTTTACATTTAACTTATATACAAATTACAATATGTATATATCAAAATCAAGTAGATATACGACCAAGTTTTTAACCCTTTACTATTCCATTCTGGAAATATTAATATTAGAGTTTGTTTTTAGAAATGTTAAATAGCTTATGGAAAACATTTTTGTACTGGTATCACATAATTGGCATAGTCAACTTTCTTTCTTGCAGAATTTCAATTTGCAATTGTTGTTATGTGAGTGAATGGATTAAAATGACAAGACTTTTGAAGAAATCAATTATTGTAATCGTTTTCTAAATAAAATAAATACGAGTGTAAAGGTAATTTCAGTAAAGGGGACAAACACTCTTTTAAAGATTTATTCAAAGACTTATTAATTTTGCTTTAATGTGTTAATTTATTAATAAATCTATAAATAAAAACAAGTAACAAGTAAAAATTTCATAGGACGGCGACAATTTGTAGAACGGCGATAACAACCTCAAAAATTAATTATTTGCAAAATATTCGATTAGGATTTTCATGCAATAAAATCACTGCAATTTTCGTTCGATTTTATAACACTGCCTTTGCAAGTTAGATGCCAATAACAATTTTTACAATACTGTAATTTAAATGCAATAAATTGTAAAATTATAAGCATTAATTTAAATATTTATTTTTTTCAAATTTTTAATAAATCTCTACTAGCTATTTACGAAAATAAATTTATATACAATTTTTTGTTCAATTCCCTTAAAGTAAAATAATATTATGCATATAGACCATTTGGCGAAATTCCCTTAATTAGTTTTGTAAATTATTGCTGATTATAAATGAGAAGAATAATTATAATCAATCTGAAATTTAATTTATTTGCCATATGGGAATGTTAATGTTACAGAGGAAAATCTATATTTGGAAATAATTTTTCTTCCATAGTAAATTGAAAGCTAATAACGTCATTTAAGCTGAGCTGCAATGAAAAATAAAAATTTCCAATATAAAAACTGCATTTGAAAAATAAGGTCCGGGACCTGACTTGGAATAATAAGTTTAAGGACCTGATGTTTCTGTTAATACGCCTCCTGTAGTCAAATTCCTTTAAGAAGTTGTTCGTTTCTTTTTCTAGACAAATTTTAATAAGCACCGTTGACTATTTTTAACTATATCTTCTTTCATATCTCAGATATGGTAAAACCATGTATGGCAATTCCGCAATAACGTTCTCGTAAATCACTTAAGTCCCGGAGTGTTAATTGATGATAATTTCTTAAAAATTTACGGTCTATAAACTCAAATATGAAGATCAAGAAAACTGAGCGAAACTGGGAGGCAATTCGCTGAAATTGAAAGCGAAACTGAGAAGCAATTCAGTCAGCGATATTGTGCGGGAAATTGATTTTATATTCCTTTTTCTAACAGAAGGAAGTTATTTTCTACTGAAAATTTGAAAGTCCAGCAGTGTGATGTGATTACAATACTTTTCATATTACCATTCAATGTGATCCGTAAAAATATATGACCATCACACATAATAAATTGTTATATTATTTTTTAATACATTATTTTTCTGTTTGCTATCCTTAATACGTTCATAAAAAATTGTTTAATTAAATTTTTTTTTTTTACAATTTTTAAAATTGAAATTTTCAATTTATGTGCATAACAGAGCACATGTTAAAAAATTTTATGTTAAAGTCATTATTCACCTTTATATCTTTCAACATTTATATAGGATTTTATCCACGCATTCGAATATAAATTGCAAAATTTAAAAATTATGCTGATGAAATTTAAAATATTTTAAAAAATCTATAAATATTTTTACATGCTTTTAACATAACAACTCTATAATAGAATGAGCTATAAAAATAAAAATTTAAAGCTCATTTCGTTGTTTAATATTTTAATTCGACTAACGAGAAAAATAAAAATTTTATGGGATTCTCAGCGCTATACACTCCTCCTTCATGCATAATATTCCAATCTTATAAAAATTTTAACTATTTCATATAACAGCAGTTTTAACTATTCTAGTTGTTAAAGCGGCATTTCTATACAGGATGTCTGTGACTTAATAATAGTATCGAAGCATGGTGATTCCTCCTTCCTCATATCCCCCTTCCACCTTTACGAGTCGTTGATAAAAAATTTATTTTGTGAACAAGAACCGCCAAAAACTGTTCTTGATGGAAGTTTTGTCCTCATATTTAAGTCGGTTGACTTCTTTATCGTGTTGATATTGGATTTAAACGGTATGTTATAAACATTTATTAAGTGTAAGCACTAATTTCTAATACACTTTCTGGCTGAAAGTCACAATTATTTTCAATTATTTAAAAAATATTTAAACATTTTTAAAGCTAAGACTTATTTACATTTTAAGACAGTATCGCGATAGTGTTTCTTAACCCCTTTTACCTCACTTTCTGCATTACTTTTGTAGGAAGTGAGGTGAACTGCTTTTCCGTGAGACTTTTACTCGTTCTGCTACTATTCTCACAATGATATTTTCCATCTCTATATGAGTAAATGAGAAATTTTATAAATTATCTCATAATTTTCGAGAACATTATTGATTTGATGACATATTGATGAAATTTATAATAAAATTTTTTAAATTTTAAAGAATAAATTTAATAAAAAAAATTTTTAATATTCATAAAAAATATTCTGATATTGAATAAATTAATTTTAACATAAAAAATTTTCAATTAAAATATATTCATTTCAGAATTTAAAATGCATTTTAATTTTATTCGAAATTATATTACAGGATAGCGATGTATCAGCAACTGAAGTTCATGCATTCGATGACATTAAAAATCTTGTAAATAAGGTGAGTTTAATAAAATAATTTTCTCTCTTATTTAATTTCTTCTCTCTTATTGGTTATTGAATGTGAGATACAATGACCATACATTAATTAAGTGCAGAAAATAAGTGCAAAATTAAATTATATTTAGAATTTTTATGTGACAATATTTGTAGTATAATATTATGTTCTAAATTAAAAGTCTTGCCGCTTAGAATGTTATTGCATTGAATATAATGTGGCCAAATGATATAATATTCTTATTATTGAAAACTAATAGAAAAAAATTTGGAATTAATTGAAATTATTAAAAAAATATTCTTGAGTACTCAATGACGTACTTTAATACTGTATATCCTAAAGTGAAAGTCCTCAAATATGACTGAGTTTAGAATTTTGCTGTATTAATTCAAATTGTACTCTGCCTGGTGCCAGGCTACACGAGATACTGGTCTAGGCTAGGATTGCCATTCAATACGATTGTTCGGTTCTGGACGGGGTCAGATTGATCAGTTGAAGTAGAGCAAGTGAGACGGGGATGGATGAGATATCGACTATTGGCATCGGGAATTTAGGTAGATTCCTCAAGCGAAGTTGGTGGTTTAAACCGGAAACCTATAATCGTATACTCAATGACGACCTTGTATTCACGAGCTAATATCATAGTAGGAAAACGGCACATAACTGAAAAATATCACATAGATATCAAAAATATCACATGTGATATAGAATTACGCGAGTGTTAATTGGATAAAATCAGTGTTTTACTAATAAAATATTAATGATTGTTTAGCTAAAACAATCACACGTTTTAATCCTTGCAAATCCTACTATCTATAAATCAATTAATTTTTTCTATTACGATTAATTAATGACTACATACATAAATTTTTCAAATTCTATTGAGAAAAATGTATACAAAATAATCAATAAACCTAATAGCAATTAAAATCTATATTAAAAACCTTGATAGATGTGTTAATTTTATTAGCACATTTAATAAGTGAGTCGATCTATTAAAATTTAATAGAAAATTTACTGAGGCGTGTGAATTATAATCCACAACAAAATGGAAAAAGTAAAATTCATCTAATCATGAAAATTTCATGAAAATCATGAAAATCTTAACCTTCAACGCATTTATATCATAATTACTTGGAGCACGTAGGAAGTACTTTTAAGAATTTATTTTCCAGAAAAATGAAGAAAAACCAAAATCGTGTTGTAAATTATGGCACAATTCAAATTTTTTAATACAATTTAACCATTATCCAACACCTTCAATTTCCGCTTGTTTTTCTAATTTTTTTATTTAATTAATTAATTAATTAAGTAATAATAATTACTGATTTAATCCCTAACACACTTAAAATATACTTATGTCTTTCTTATTACTACTATTTTATATTTCTATTTAGAATTTTACTTTTTAACCTAGTTTTACGTTCCTTTTCTCTCTGATCCTATTAAAAATTCCATTAAACGAATATTAAATGAAAATTTCAATTAAGGTATATAAGAAAAACGAAAAAAAAAAAAAATTAATATAATTTTCATATTTTTTTACCCTGTGAATTTTTGTTTGTATGCGAGGCGCACTCAATTTATTTTCATTGAGTTTCTTATTTTAGTTATTTTGTTGTTGAAAGCAATTCCAACTCAACACCTACCAACCTAACATTTATATGTACCTATAAATGATGACAAATTAAAATATAAACCTAAGCTATTAAATTATAAAGGACAAAAATGGAAAAATGAAAATTGTACTGAAATTCTCTGGAATGCAAAAAATGTTTATAGGCAAAATGAAAAGAAAAGTGAACTAGGAAGAAATTTTATTTTATTTAATTTTATTTTTTATATAGAAAAGGACTTAATTTTCTAGTTTATTTTTCTGTATAGTATAAAGTACAGAATATTTTGTATTAAATGGAAGAGAATGTAATTAAAATTTTTTCAACAACTTGTAAAGTTCATAAAGATTTTTTGAATAATATTTTGAATTTTTTTTTTTTTTTTAGTTTCCGATATTTGATCTAGTTCGAATAATATACTTACCGCTGTTGTAAGAATAACTTATAAATTGCCAAGCTTATGTTTTAAATAGAGATGAGGCTACGGCAGTTTACCAAAACTGCAACTCATTTTTAGATAGAATATGCAATCTACTTTTTTTTTAAACATTTTGCTAAACAAATATCTATAATGTCTGGCCATTCTACTTTAGACAGCTGTGTACCTTTAATTACAAAAATAAAATAAATTATTTTCCATTTACATATTGGTGTTTCTCTCCTATTATTTTTTGAATACATACTGAAATTTTTATCTGCAAAAATATGTTAAATTGGTGTCAATTTCGCTTATTTTTGACATAATGGTACAAAGTCAATTTAGTACATTCTTTATTTAGTTAAAAATTCAGATTGTACCAAAAATTAAGAATGTCAAATTGATTGCCGATTTTTTATTTTGGTTGACGGGGGTAATACTTAGATAGTAATTGTCTGATTTAAAGTGTATTTATAACCAGATCCCTAGCATTTTGCATTCCGTGATATTTTGCTGAAAAATTTTTGTCTACATAAATAATTTACAAAAAATTACAGCATCTTATAATCATCAATATTTTATCAAAAATATTTCATAGAATAATTCATTAGTGAGTTTCAAAAGTGTAGGTATGGTTTTTTACTATTACATTCAGTACAAAATTTAGTTCATATGGTAACTTGTAATATTAATTATTTAAATAGCCTTACATGTTACCCAGGATTTACTTCGTACAAATCAGGAAATTTGGATGGGGGGGAAGAATTTTTTTCAAAATTTATCATATAAAATAATACAAAATATTTCTTATAGAAATATTTTCGTAGCCTGTGACCGTCACATAAAATTTTCATTAATTTGCTTATGCATTCCTATTTGAATTCAAACAGTTGATATATCGGAATTAAAATGAAATCCTAAAAATCTGTTTTAACTAAATAATTTTTTTTTCAACTTAATTTTATTTATTATTTTGAAAATATATTGAGTGTTTAAGAGTGAAAACAAATAAAAATAAATAAAATCAGTTTAAATTTTCTTTTTGTATTTAAATAAACAAATCAAATTCTTTAACAAAAAAAAAATTAAAGGATATTTAAAGGAATAAACAATATTATTTATTTTCTTTAAAAACCATAAAATAAATTTTTTTAACCCCAAGGTTACGTACTCTACATCGTACTCATATATATACAAATATATAGAAGAACAGAACCTATCCCAAGAGTTTTGACTTTGAATTTTTTTTTGTTGTGTATTTTTTTTCTCAAAACAAATACAATCGAAAATATATGAGAAAATAAAAACAAAATGACAAAGGACATGAAAAACAGAAATGTTACAATAAAAATGAAAAATTAAAAAAAAAATAAAAAGGATAACAGGAAAAAGAAAAAAAAAACACACACAAAAATAAATAAAAAAAATTTTTTCAAACGTGAAACTTTCTAATGAACATGATTGTTTCCAATTCTCAGAGATGATTAAGATTAACATAGGAAGATTCATTCAAATGATTAAACATTAAAATAAATGTATGTAAATGTAAATGTTAATGTGGGCTTGTGTATTGTACATTGTGTCAGGACATATTACATAACATTTCGTATAGACCATATGTAAATAATTTATAAAAACATATTTTAAGAGAAATTCTTCAAAATGCCCATGTAATTTCAAATTTAATATACATACATGGATACATTTAAAATTTACATAAGAACAAATAGAGATTCATTTTAAATACAGTAATAGATTTGTATAGGATTAGTAGTATACTACTATATTATCATAATATAGGAGTTTAAAGAAGAGAATGGTACAGTGCAACTCAAAAAATTAATTTTCATTTTTATAAATACCATAATTAAAATTGTTAAATTGGGCAGTATTTTCGTACCTTAAATGCTTGTTATTTGCCGTTATTACACTGAGATTTTATGCGTGTAAGAGAGCCTATCGGAATCTTGGGCCTTAATGTCACATTAACCTATAAAATGAGTTCATAACTGTATCTAAAATGTACTCATTGAATTTTTTGTATTAAATAGCACATTTCCTAAAATAGTAGAATTGACAGTAGAAATCCTATTTAAATTGACATAATAAAAGATCTACTGTCTCTCTCTTAAAAATATTACAAAAACAGAATATTTTATAGTAGTTTTAGACTTGTAGTAATAATAATTTTTTTTTGCTGGCAACATTTCAAGTATACCAATTTTCTTTTCTTTAAATATTGAATAGAAATGTGGTCCGGCTAAGAGAAATAACTGTTCTCAAGTTGTAAATCAGTCTGTATGTTAAAAAAAGGATTCTATATATTTTGGGTATAACGTTATATCTAGAATATAGAGAGGGATAGTATTAATAATCTTAATGAATTCTATTTAGAAAATTACGCTGTCGTGATTTTTTATGCAAGGAAATTAATTTTTGATATTAAACATCTGATTTCATGGCACTATGTAAAGGCCACAATGAATATTAGAACATACAATTACAATAATGCCTCTTTTTGCTCATGGTTATTTTCAATTTTCTTCACATTTTTTATTAAAATAACAATGACATTTAAAGGTATGACAGTACATCTATGAAAGTTATTACCATTTTGCTTTCACGTCAGTAATATTCTCTTGAATTCACTGTCTATGCATTTTTCTTAAATATTTTCTCTTACATTAGTGTGTGTTTATGTGCGTTTATGTTATCATTTTTCTCTTTAAATTTCCCTATGGGGAAGAGCAGATTAAAATCGATATCAATTTTTTTTTTGTTTCCTTCTTTCTTTCTCTTATACTTTCTCGATTATTGTTTTTCTCATTTTATACTTTTTTTTTTTGATTTATTTTAAAAGATAAAAATTGAACAGTATAAAAATTAAAATTGTATCCTTTTTTGATTAGTTCACATTAAAATTAAGAATGAATATGAATATATCAAGAGTATATCCAAATAAATTATAT